GCAGCCAGCGGGCAAAATTCGGCAATGGCTGAGGCCGCGGTGCCGATCTGCGCCCCGGAAGCTCCAATGAGAGCCGTTTCGGGGCGCTGTGACATGGAACTGCCATGCATTCCAAAGGGAGCAGTAGTAGTCCAATTTGCCCTTGTGCAGTGTTCGGGTTGGGCTATGGCCCCGGACCCAAAACACGCTACCTCTCCAGTGGGAGCTGATACGTAGCGCCTCGTGTCATCCCGACTGGGGCTTGTGACAAGTGAGGGTGCGCGATTGTGATGCTCAAGGGGGGCACTGGCCCTGTTCTCGAGCAATGCGGTATCTGCTAAAAGCGTCAGCGGACAGAACTCACGCGGAGCAGACATAACGCGGGCAAACGCGGCGAGCCTGATTCGCAAAGGCGGGCCGACTCGGCTAAGACTAATCAAAGGCTTAATGAGCTTTTGATACCGCGTTGGGCGCCAGTGTGGTGTCCCCGTTCCTAACTGCAGCGGACGATCACCGCGGGTTCACGCTTAGCGAGCCACAGGGCCGCTACTCCGTTTACTCGCGTGTAGCGCACCGCTCCGCGCGCGCTCAACTGATAAGGCGTTTAGCGCGGCGCGGCAAATAGACAGTGTTATAATGCAAAAGTACACAACACTTTATTGCCTCTGGCGGCACCCCGAACAACAGTACAACGTCCGCTCCCGAGACGCGGGTAGCAAAGGCACCCGCACGCGGACGTTCACAATAAGGGGAAAACCGTGAGCACGTCGCAGCTGGCAATGGCGAGCTTTGACACGCCGGTCGGGAAAAGGTCCCTCGCGGCTATGCTGCGCACTCTCACGATGGCCACTGGGCCTGGTCGCGAGTGTTAGGGCAAACCTCGTACGCGTAGGCCTACGGCAAGTGCGGCTCGTTGTGGTACGACCACTTCAAGCACTAGGCACCGCTCTGGGCTTAGCGTACGCTCCGAAGCTAGCACTCAAGTAAACACGCCTGCCGAGGTGCCCAAGGCACCCCAGGGAGGCTACCGTCCGCGATTCCCAAAGGGGACGCGGACGAAGGAAAACACGTGCTTACCCGGCGCCGTCCGCGGAGAAGAGAGCGCTCCCTCGGCGCGCGCGTACCGCGCGCTGTGCCCGCACGTGGCGCCATCTATCGCCACGTGGTGTTAACAGGGCAGGAAAGCAAAAGGGTGTGGCCGTGTGGCGGAATGCCCGCGAAAATGGTCGCGGGCGCGCCTCAGATCCCCACACGGTTAGGCACAAGTTTTCGTTAGAGCCGGGGTGAAGTAGGCCTAGAGGAGACTTCTCATCGCTAGCGTCGGTGGTGTGCTTTGTTGAGAAGCGAGGAGATTGGTTTTGTGACGCGTCTGAATTTGTCAGCAGGTTGAGTTTTTATTTTTTGTGCTCGCAAGTGTTCTTTTTTTGCTGGTGGTAGTTTTCAAAACCATTGTTGAATTGGGACGAGAGCCATGCGGTCTGCATCCTGGGGTGTGCAAGGGCTAGAGCACGTGGTTTGTAGGCCAGGCCCGCAGGCGAGTGAGTACGGAAGCCTCGTGGGTGATAAATTTTTCTGTAAATAGCTTCTTCTATCTCTTTGGGCTTAGGGAGCCAGGCGTCGTTGCTGGCTTGTATTGCGGCTCGACGCCGGGACGTCGTGACACCGCCCGGGGCGGTGGACGCCGATCGCTCGGTAAGCTGCTGTGTGCGGCGAGCGATAGGGCCACCTCACAGAGTAGATATCTCCTCGCGGTTGCCTCTTCTGCGCCTAGGCTGGGTGCTGGGTGGATGCCGGTTGTTGCCGAGCGACTCATTAGGTGCTCTGCGCAGCCGCCTGTCGCATGTGGCACAACTAGGTGGATCGTGGTGATTAAGTGTTGCGCACTGCTTCCCTCACCTTTTTTTTTATCTTGCGATGCACGACTTAGGAAAAGTGATTTTTTGTTTTATTTTGATGGACCTCTCGGCCGTCGCCGATGTATTAGCTAAGACGTACTGACCATCGTACCACGTGGCCCAAAAGCCCAAAGCTCCCTTCCGTAGGTCCTGCTCTATCGTTTCTTTTGAGTTTTTTTTTAATGTTAATGTATTCAGTAGGAGAGATGTCATCCACGGCCGGCTGTCTTGTGCACATCGTCAGCGTTGCTGGCCAGGAATGCGGTCGTGAGGTTGGGCGATGTAGATGACTAGGACCTGCGCAACTGCCTGCAGTGCGGCGCCCGAAATGCCGGTCGTCACCTGAAATTTTGGGTGACGGTCATTTCGGGTGACGGTCGTCACCCGAAATGCCGCCTTGGAGCAAGGCACATGCGCCGCACGGCGCAGACAACTTTACAGGGAGGTGTTAGCACTCTCACATTTCCCCACCTTAAATCAAACCACATCCCGAAAACAAAGAGACCAGCTACACAAGCTTTAACAAAAAAAATGACATTAGATGTCCATAATGTCCTTGCATCACAACACCGCCACCAGTCAACACTGCTGCACTGTGCGGCTCGACTTCACCTCAGTACCGGTCTCGCAACAACTACGTTGCTGTCGGAGCGATGATCCGTCACTCGTGCCGACAGCAACGTAGTTGTTGCGAGACCGGTACTGAGGTGAAGTCGAGCCGCACAGTGCAGCAGTGTCGACTGGTGGCGGTGTCGTGATGCAAGGACATTATGGACATCTAATGTCATTTTTTTTGTTAAAGCTTGTGTAGCTGGTCTCTTTGTTTTCGGGATGTGGTTTGATTTAAGGTGGGGAAATGTGAGAGTGCTAACACCCCCCTGTAAAGTTGTCTGCGCCGTGCGGCGCATGTGCCTTGCTCCAAGGCGGCATTTCGGGTGACGACCGCTGGGCGATAGATGGCGTTGTGTTCACGTTGAGTACCACTATTGATAGAGTGGTAGTGCCGGAAGTGACCCCTGGCAGAAGGCAGGCCTTGGTGGCGGGGGAGAGTGGAGCGAGCCTCTTTTGCGCGTGGCAGCTGCCGCAAACGGTTGTCTCTCGCGGTGGATCTGCCGTGGACGGCACCGCGGGCCGCCTGCAGTAGGCCCACGTGGTGAGTCAAGTGTTGGCGACGCCGCTTTGGGTGTGTTAGTGTGTTTGTCATGTTGTGTGTTTATCGTGTTATTGTGTAATAATGTCCTAGCGTATTACATAACGAGTTATGTATCAATTCGGCGGACGATATCGTCGTTGTAAATTAGTTAAATAAAAGCATGTATGTTATTTGGTTTGTACCGATCGCGTCTTCTGTGTCTATTCACTCCAAGAGTGTGGCGTGGCGCTCGCTCGCCTCGTTGAGACCCCACAAACCTAGTGCATTTTTCCAACTACACATGCACATTGCTTCCTGCAAAAGTCTGTAACGAAATCGCTATGTTGCCCAAGTCGGCAAATTAAAAAAAATTCTGAAAGTTGAGTGGCTGAACTAGCTACTAGAAAGTGCTGGATGCACGAGAAAAAAGTTTAACATGCCAAAATCTATGACCGAAAATTGTCGATCACCGGTGATCAATTTGAATAGGCGTGGTAAGGAAACAGTTAAAGTGGTGCTGCCTTCGCACGATGTTATGCTCCGTGCTCATCAGCACATCTTGCACAACTTTTCAACATTACCATGCAACTGTGCATGCAGTTTCCAGACTGCTGAAACTTTAGAGCAACAATTTTTCTATCTATACTTTGTCTTAGAAATGACGCACACTGCTAATTGGTGTAGCCATGCATACTACGAGTGACGTTTTTGATGACTTGGCTTGGCTCATGTATGGAGAGCCTAAAGAAGCCAGGACAAGGTACAAGCAACCTTAAGTGGAGGTGCACACAGGGCACACACAATATGGTTCAAATACAGGGAAAGTGTAAAATGCCACATGATCTCATTGTAAGAGCTTGTTATTTTCAAAAATAGTTAAAAATATTTAAAAAGGATGCTTCAGCACAGTTACAGGAACTCTTGGGAAAGCAAATAACACCAGCTTTCACAAATCATGAGAAGGGCTGGCATGGTTGCTATCAATTCTCAGTGTTGTTGGAGGAAAGGTACATTTTCAATTAGAACCTTTTAAATAAAAGAACACTGCATGTAAATTAACTACATGCGTTTGGGATTAACTGCTGCAGCTACGAACTCTACGAACAACGAGGTTTCTGTCTCACAGGGAAAAAATGAATTAAAAAAAGCAGCTGTCAGTCCCTGAGAGTAATTTTCGCTGCAATACTCTGTTGTCATGCAGAAAAACAAAGAAGGATTAGGAAAGGACTATTAGTCGTCGCGAGTCATAAAATGTCTGCTATGTTACTGAGCGCACAAGCGCACGTGTGCCACATATATACGAGCATATATATAATTATTCAAGTATGAATTCTTTACTAGCAATCATTCAGGGCTGTCTGACATTGCAGCAGCCCTCTGAAACAATAAATGAAAACGTCGCCACTTTTCTTTTGTCGCATACTAGTTTTCCATGTTTTATTCATGATACGAATATTTTTGGTAACACTGTGAGATTTGAACCACTTGAGTTTCACTGTAAAAAGCATTCTTAATCTATAATTGGTGCTCCTTTATGGAAGTAAGCGATTAGAATGCAAAAAACAAAATAGGCATTCACTCATCTCTACTGATAAGTACAGCTACTATTAGGCCTTGAAAGCTTTTTTAGACATGGCTATAGCAATGTGACAGCAGGAGCAAGGTAAAAAAAATGTGAATTCGTTTATTAAAGCTGCTCCAATTTCAAATTTGTGGTGACTATGTGAGGGTCCCGTAAAAAATATATATTTGCCGAATCAGAACCAAAACCCTCTAAGCAGCTAGATTATTGGCACAAAAGCAACCCAAGCGCAAGTTCCTGGGTGTCAATGGCAAAAGCAGCCAAAGGTGCAAGGTGTATATTCAAAGACTGAGCTTCATCGAAAAATTTATAAATTCTGTGACAAGTATATCATCACCCAAAACCGAGGTAGGTGAGGTATGTGCACTTTATTCAGTTGGTGGAGCACCCATGCTCAAGATTCCCTATTCACCTGAGGCAGTATGTGAATGCTGAGCCCAGCAGCTGCCTCCAAGGTCACATGACGCTCGTGCAGCCTGGCTGCTACAGTGGACGCTGGCATAGGCCCGCCTTCGAGCTGAACGGCCAGAAGCACGTCCAGCTGCCCCTCCTCCCCTGCTGCTGGCTGCACGCTCACCAGCTGCAAGAGACAGACAGCCATTACGACAAGGTATGACATCCTGACTAGGCACTGCCAGAAACTTCTCACTTTCTTTTGCTGTTCATAAATGCTTGCCTGCCGCAAGCCTCTCCACAGATTACTAAAGCTAAACCCAGATGCATCTCAAGCCTGTATAGTGTAATGCAATGGCGTGATGTACTGATAAGACAAAATGCCCACAACTAAAGCTTGTCTACAACCTTTACAAAACTCGGACAATATATTCAGAAAACAACAAGTGGGTATCTAAGGCCGTGCTGAAAAAGGCATCATCATCATCATCAGCCCGACTACACCCACTGCAGGGCAAAGGCCTTTCCCATGATCTGCCAATCAATCAACCTGGTATTGTGCTTTCTGCTGCCATGTTATACCTGCGAACTTTTTAATTTCATCGGCCCACCTAACTTTCTGTCTTCCCCCTGTGCATTTGCCTTCTCTGGAAGTCCCGTCAGTTAACTTTAATGACTAGCGGTTATCTTGCCTATGCGATACGAGCCCGGTCCATGTCCATTTTTTCTTCTTTATTTCAACTATGATATTCTTAACTCTGGTTAGTTCTCTGCCCCAATTTCTCTCTTCTTGTTTCTTAAGTTTACACCTATTTTTTTATTCATTCCATGGCTCGCTGCATCGTCCTTAATTTAAGCTGGACCCTCTTTGTAATACCCTTGTCACATGGGTAAGCTTAACTGCTGTTATACCCAAGTGCAGTTAGCAAACATAAGCACCATTACCGTAAACCAGACACGGTGTGGGGAGCAGGTGCGCCCAGCCTCCCTTTCCCTTTTAGGGCAGCGCACGCGCCTGGTTGCGGGGACCCCTTCCCCCACGGCCGGCGCGTGCGATTCCCCCCCCTTTCCCGGCGCCAGGAACAGGTTCCCCTCTCCCTCAGCGAGGAAAGGTACCATTCTCGTCAGGGAAAGGGAAATCGGGTCGGGGAACAAAACGAGCGGGCAAACGGGCGCTCGCTCTCTGAGACCAGCGACCATCCCAGGAGGACGAACCCGCAACCCCTCCTGCGAGCCGAGGACGTCCACGACCGAGGTGTAAGCGTCAACACCTTTGTTATCTGTAGTATCTCCCCGCGACAGTGACGCGCGATTGCTAACGCTTAGCAATAAAGTGTTTGTTGTTGATCTGGCCAGTTGCCTTATTCGCCCGAACCCGTAGTAGTAGCTGCAATGAGGCAAGCTACGGTTGGGGGACGTTAACCGTGCACGGAACGACTGTGTGCGGCTGAAACATTAGCTATAGGCTTCTGCGTCAGCCGTACATAGGAAGGGGTCACCCAACATCTGGCGCCCAACGTAACGAATTTGGCAACGCGGCTAGTTCTGTGGACGCGAGCAAGTGCCAGGGCGCTCTTCCACACGTAGGATAATAGGCATGTCGGAATTCCAAGATTTGTCAATGTTGTCGGATGTCGCGTCGCAGAGTGGCGATCCTTTGGCTAACGCGGGGGTACTGTTAGGACTTTCCGACAGCGTAGAGCTTGGTCGTTTCACGCGGGATGATCAGGAGGGTGCAGAGACCGCGTTAGCAGAGAGTAGGCCTACGACGGAGAGCGGCCCGCATGGCGCTCCGGCATCTCGCGACGCGAACAGAGAGGCGCCGCCACAAGTTACGACACGCGCCTCAACTATAGGCGAGTCTTCGGGCAACAGTTTGCCCTCGAGCGAGGTACTCTTACAGAATGCGCTGTCAGTTATGCAGAGCCTCGCGAGCGCCCTGCAGAACACAGCGCAGGCCCCCGTGCAAAATGTGCGACCACGTGTCAAGGTAGACATTCCGACCTACACGGGTTACCACGACTGCAAGAGCGCCAACGAGTATCTCGACCGGTTGCTCCATTATCAGCAGGCGACGGGTCTTTCTGATGCCGAACTTCTCGAGCGCGTGGTCCCGGTGTCGCTCACGGAGCAAGCGGCTCGGTGGTTCCGACTAACCGGACATCGCGCCCGTACGGTAGAAGAGTTCCGCGAACGCTTTCGCGGCGAATTCCTACCGGCTAATTATGAGTGGCGTTTGCGGAGGGAGTTGGAGCTGCGCACCCAGCATCCGGACGAATCCTTGCTGGAATACGTACGGGCGATGGACGAATTGTATCGTCTCGCGAACCCTCACGCCACCAACGCGGAAAAGGTCGAGCGTGTTACCCGACAGGCGCACCCGACTTTCGCGGCGCACTTCAGGGGATGCAGGTTCGCAGACCTCGAAGAGCTCGCCACCGAGGCGAAGCGCATACAAGGGGACATCCTCGCAGCGCGTTCGTATCGCCCCCCTCCGCCCGCCGCGCAGTCAATCGAGCCTCGCTGTGCATGGAACGGCGGCGCAGTGACTTCAGAAGCGTTTAGGGGTAACGCATCAGCATCGTACGCTGATGAGCACGTGTCACGCGGTTGGGAGCTGTCAAACCGCGCTTTAGACCCCTACGCTTACGCGCTCCGTACGGCACACGCCGCCCCTGCGCGTGACATTCCAAGGCAGGAGCACGTGGTTGACGCGAGGCCTAACGAGCGGCGCAGTCCAGAGCGAGGACCACCTGATCGAGGCGAGTTACGAGCGAACCGGCGTGGTGTCCGCGGTCCTTGCTATCGGTGCGGCGCGCCAGGGCACATCGCTCGCGAATGCGACCGCACGCCGGGTCAGGAGCAAACGCGCGGTTCGGGAAACGGACGGCGCCGCCGGTGATTCACATGGGACCCCGCGCGGCGATTAGTAATCCTACCGATGCGTTCGGATCACTTGCACCGTCGGTCTGTCGCGCAGGTGATGCCGTAGACTCGCCCGCGCCGCTAATCGAGTTAACGATAGCTCGGAAAAAGTTCGTAGCACTTTTGGATACTGGGGCAAGCGCTTCTTTATTCGGTGACGATGTGTTGCACCATCTCCGCGAGAACAACATCCGCTTGAGGCAAAGCAACACCATCTTCCGTCTAGCTACGGGCACAGCACAATCGAGCGGCGCGGCTAGGCTAGTGATCCGCTGGGACAGACGCGTGAGGCGACAACGTTTCGTGCATCTTCCAGGGCTGTCAATGTCTCTAATCCTGGGTCGAGACTTCCTCGCTAAGTCGGGTATTGTCATTGACATTGCAAACGGTGGTTACCGAGAGCGCGACGGAGACGCGCTGAAGCTTTTCTCGAAGGCCTCCGCATTGACAAAAGCATGCCAATCGCAGGGAGAGGCGCGAGTACGCGAGGAGGAAAGCGCGCCGAGAAAGCGAGTAAACGCCCCGCCGGAGCAATGTGCTGCGCTGCAGGAAAGGGCAGTGCACCCGCTTTTGGTACAGGCACAGAGCCTACTAGAGGGGGAACGAGCGCAGCTGTCGTCGCTGTTGTACGAATATGACGCGATGTTTACTGACTGTCCCGGCCGCACTACGCTGGTTAAGCATAGAATTGACACGGGTGATGCACGCCCTTGGAAATGCAATCCCCGACCAATCAGCTTAGCTAAGCGGAAAGCACTAGACGCCGCCTTGGACGAACTCATCGAAACAGGCGTAGTTGAGAGGTCAAACAGCCCATGGGGTTTCCCGGTAGTTCTAGTTCCAAAGAAAGATGATACGTATCGCCTTTGTGTAGACTACCGCAGGCTGAATGAAATTACGAAGAAGGACGCGTATCCTCTTCCCTCCATTTCATCGTTAGTATCCAATCTAGGCGGGGCGAAGTACTTCACAACGCTCGATGCTAGCCGCGGATATTTTCAGGTTGAGATGGACGAGCGGGATAAAGAGAAGTCAGCTTTCACGTGCCACAGAGGACTTTTCCAATTCAGGAGAATGTCGTTTGGCTTGGTGGGCGCTCCCGCTACGTATCAGAGGCTAATGGACCGTGTTTTGGGAGATGCAAAGTGGCAGCACGCACTCGCATATCTAGACGACATAGTGGTTTACTCGAAAACGTTCGAAGAGCACGTGCGCCACTTGAGAGACGTTCTAGAACGGCTGAGGTCTGCGGGCATCACTTTGAACCCAAACAAAGCTCACATAGCGGCGACCCGAATAACATTATTGGGATTTACGCTTGACGAGGGTCGCATTTTGCCGGATAAGGGTAAGCTTGAAGCGATAGTGAGCTATCCATCGCCGAACAATGTCGGTGAGCTGAGGCGCTTTTTGGGGATGGTGAATTTTTATCGCCAATTCATTCCAGATTGCGCGGCAGTGCAGGCGCCTTTAACGAAGCTCTTGAGGAATGGTGAGCGTTGGGCTTGGAGCCAAGAGCAAGAGGCCGCACTGCGTCGCCTCACGAAGTTGCTGGCCAACACGGCTCAGCTGCAGCTACCCGATTTGAACAGGGAGTTTGTTATTCACACCGATGCAAGCGACCTGGGCTTAGGAGCAATTTTGCTTCAGGAGCATGGAGGTTCCCTCCGACCGATTGCGTTCGCGAGCCGTACGTTGACACCGGCGGAGAGGAACTACTCAGTAACCGAGAAAGAGTGTCTGGCGATAGTTTTTGCTCTCCGTAAGTTTGACTTTTACATAGACGGAGTTGCGTTTGTGATTGAAACGGACCACATGGCGCTCACGTGGTTGAGGCGTTTGAACGAACCAAGTGGCCGATTGGCGCGTTGGGCATTGTTGCTGCAGCGTTATGACTTCACCGTCCGCTACCGCAAGGGTAAGAACAATGCCGCGGCCGACGCACTATCGCGTGCTCCACGCGATGTTTACTGACTGTCCCGGCCGCACTACGCTGGTTAAGCATAGAATTGACACGGGTGATGCACGCCCTTGGAAATGCAATCCCCGACCAATCAGCTTAGCTAAGCGGAAAGCACTAGACGCCGCCTTGGACGAACTCATCGAAACAGGCGTAGTTGAGAGGTCAAACAGCCCATGGGGTTTCCCGGTAGTTCTAGTTCCAAAGAAAGATGATACGTATCGCCTTTGTGTAGACTACCGCAGGCTGAATGAAATTACGAAGAAGGACGCGTATCCTCTTCCCTCCATTTCATCGTTAGT